ATGCCCCAGTGGGTCTGTTGTCAGCCCAGTGCCCCATGGACACATTGGCCCCCCGAGCCCAATGCTCCTGTGGGTCTGTTGTCCCCCCCTAGTGCCCCATGGATATGTTTCCCCCAGAGCCCAATGCCCCTGTTGGACGGTTGTCCCCTCCCCAGTGCTCCACGGATACATTCCCCCTAGAGCCTATTGCCCCTGTGTGTCTATTGTCCCCCCCAGAAGCCAATGCCCCTGTGGGTCTGTTGTTCCCCGGATGGGTGTGTTTTCCCTCCAGAGACTGGCTGCCTTGTGGAAGAGATGATAGCCAGCCATGTTACTGGGCTCAGTGCATGTGGGCCTGGGTGAAGTTCTCTGGCCTGTGCTGGCCAGGAAGTCAGAAGAACTGAGCTTCTGGGCTTAAGCTCTAGGAAACTACAACTCCTCGGAGAAGAGAGTTGCTGCCCTCTTTGGGCCTGGCTTTTGGTGATGCGCTCGGGCCTGGCAGCACGCATAGGGTTGCCAGGTCTCCGGTTTTCAACTGGAACCCCGGGTCAAAAAGGGACCCTGGCGGCTCCGGTCAGCACTGCCGACTGGGCCATTAAAAGTCCGGTCAGCGGTGCTGCAGGTCTAAGGCAGGCTAGTCCCTATCTGTCCTGGCACTGCGCTACGCCCCGGAAGTAACCAGCAGGTCCAGCTCCATACTCCCATTGGGAACCGTGGCCAATGGGAAGGGGGGCAGTGCCTGACGGCGAGAGCAGCACGCGGAGCCTCCTGCCCCCCGTCCACCCAGGAGCAGGACCTGCTGTCCTAGCACGGAGCCTTAGCCCACTGTGCCTCTGACCGGGAGCCGCCTGAGGTAAGCCTGAGCCCCAGCCCTGAGCCCCCCCAAACCCCTCATCCCCAGCCTCACCGCACCCCAGAACCTGCACCCCCAGCCCAGAGCATTCACCCCCTCCCGCATCCCAACTCCCTGCCTGGAGCCCCCTCCCGCACCCTGAACCCCTCATTTCTGGCCCCACCCCAGAGCCTGCACCCCCCCACACACCCCAACCCCCTGCCCCAGCCTAGTGAAAGTGAATGAGGGGGGGATCATGGTGAGTAGGGGTGGGGCCTCAGGGAATGGGTGGGGCTAGGGTTTTTGGTTTTGTGCAGTTGGCAACCCTAAGCAAGCCGCGTGTTACGGTGCTGCTGAGACATGGGTTCAAATCCTGGCTCTGCACGTGGCAGCTAGCGGGCTCTGGTCCTGTCAGGATCCAGGCTGCTCAGCAGCTGCTGCCCGAAAAATGGGGTTGGAGACAAGACAACGAGATTCTTCCACCCCCCACCTCTGGAACAATTATTGCTGACACCGCCACATCCCGTCTGATCTCCCCAAACTATCAACCATCTGCACAGGGGCTCTCTCTCCCTCCCAGTAACCCTTCTGTAACGCCCACCTCTGCCCACCTCCTGCAATGAGTAGGCAGTGCTCACTCCCAGGGTGCTCCTGTTCTCCACCATCACAACTCCCAGGGGCCTCCTGGCAATCTCAGGCTGGCCAGCCCCTCCCTGTCCCCGCTCTCTCCCCTTGGGACTGGGGCGGGGTTTGGCCCTGGTGGTGACGCTGCACTCGCACCTTTGGAGGCCAAAGCTCTCCAGTCCCAAAGGCAGCCTGGGAGCATGGGCAGGCCTCAGCTCGGCTCTGCCCTTCAAATGAGGAAGGCGCTCTTTGAGGGGCTGGAGGCCGCCAGACCTGCAAGCCCCTTGCTGGGGGTCTCTGCTGCCTTGGCTTAGCAAAGGAAGGGCCCTCCGCCATGCTGCTGCCCCGCAGTGTCGCTGCGGCCTCGGCTAGCAAAGGCTGTTGTTGGGCTGGGCCTGAACTTTGAGGTTTCCAAGGTAACAAAAGGCCCACTCAGCCTGTTACATAAAATGGTTGCTGAAAGTCAGCAGAAGCAGGCACCCACTGACCCGGCACAGACAGGACGGTTGGCGTGAAATGCAGAGGGGGCTACAAGGCTCTTGGTTAAGCCACTGTTGGCATGGCAACGAGCTAAACCTGGAAGTGGGAGGGAATGTTTACAATTGGAATCACCCAAATGTGCTTTAATTGGTGAATGTTAATGAACCTTCAGTGTTGCGGGGATGGGGGGGTGTCAAGCAATGGGAGCAAGGACATGGTTGGTCTGGAAGGCACCAGCTTTACCAGCATAGCTGCTACTCCTGCTGGGACTCCAGGCGTCACCATGATCATCAGCTTGTTACCGCCTGAGGGGCTCGAGGCGGACTTCAAATGGTCCGTTGGC